CATTGATAAAGAAATGTCGATGAACGCATATGATGGTGGATATCGATATGGACACATGACGACCAACTTGGCAGAGGCAATCAATTCAACCTTAAAGGGTGCACGTCACTTACCAGTAGCGGCTTTGGTAAAGACTACATATTTTCGTTTGGGGGCGCTTTTTGCGAAGCTCGGGGGTCAAGCTCAAACCTGGATGCAAGGAGGTCATGTCTATCACCCTAAATTAGTTGCAGATCTACAGAAAAAAATTGTTGCATCAAATGGAATGTCTGTAACAAGCTTCTCTAGAAGGCATGAAATGTTTCGTGTCACAGAGTTGTCGCGACATCTTCAAGGGATTGAAGCTGTGTCGTTAAGAGTAAATCTAAGGGACAGAACGTGCGACTGCGGGTTTTTTCAAGCTCTGAAGTATCCATGCTCTCATTTGATAGCAGCTTGCTCGCATACACGTCAAGACTATAACCATTTTGTGGATCCCGTATACCTACTATCTGAAGTTTTTAAGGAATACGAATTTGAGTTTCCCCCCATAGGTAATGACAAAGACCCTGATGAGGTTCAAGATTGGCTTCCGATTGTACCAAATCTGAGTTTATTGAGGGAGTGTGGTCGTCTAAAATCTAATCGAATTCATTTCGATATGGATATTAGAGAAATATCTAGACAAGACAGAAGATGTGGGCATTGTAGAAACCCAGGACACACTAGAAAAACATGTCCACTTCTGTTGTCATCAAGTAACAATTGATGAGGAAATGATGTATTTTATTGTCAAATAATAATTCTTCTACTTTAATTTGCATTTACTTCAAGTTAATTTCATTTGATAATCACCGATGAAGATTAAAAAAACAAACACAATCATTAAATTTTAACAAACTAATAACAATAAGTATTAAATGGTAAATGATAACCAAATTACAATAACTGATATTAAATGGTAATAAAAAAACGAACTGAAATACATTAAAAAAGTCCAACAAATTTAACAAAATAAAGTAAGTATTAAATGAGAAATAATAAAAAAAATTACAATTTAACAAAATAAAGTAAATACAAATATAATAAAAAACAAAATCTATCGATGCCTGCGACGCGAATGTGTTCCGCAGGGCGGTGGCTGTCGGTCTCGAGGAGGATTTCTTCGTATCACTGGTTCTGACTCCTCGCTGTCATTATCATCGTTGTCATTGTCGTCGTCCTCGTCGTCGTCGTCGTCGTCATCTTGCGCAGGTACATGAGGAGCTGATGACGATGAAGCACCTCTGTAGAATAAGGACCCTGGAGGTGTATGACTGACTATCCCACTGGCCTGCGAAAACTAGGAAAACTCATAAAACCCAGACATCGCTGAGTGTGAAAACTGTACAAGAGGCGGTGTTTGTGCTGCGGCCATGGGTGATAAGGCTGAACCCGCTAAATATCTAGCATATGAACCCCAAGTCGGGTCTGCAAACATAGACCCATAATAGTCTCCAGGAGGGGTCATCTGTGACGATGGCGGTGGTGGGGGTCATAAAACCGGGTGAAGGCGGCGGCGGCATATGGTAATGGAAAGGCGATGGCGGCATCATATATGGCTGCGGCATCATATATGGCTGCGGTGGCTGCTGGGAAGGTCCTGCTGGTGCAGTTGAGGATGAACCAGATGCACCTGCTCTCCGTCCACGAGTCGGGGGACGATGGTGCTGTGTCGGTGAACGTCTCTGTCGACGTCGTGGAAAGGTCTGCCCTTTTGCATCCTCGGGAAGTAGAAACGGTTTCCCGTTACTGTTGAACCACTCATAATAATCCTCAGCATACATCAAGAGGTCATAAAAAATGGGCTCTCTACGGGGAAGACGCCGATGTCGATCCTCCCACAACACGACCCACCCAAGATGCCTAACCAGCCAATCTGTGTCTGTCTTGCTGCGTCTGTCTAAGCTATGCAACTCGTCCATATTGCGAGGTGCTTCCGAAATTGGTTGAAAATAACCAAACTGTCGGAGCACACGATCAGTGGAGTGCCACTCGACGGTCACATAACAGATCAGAGGGACCATCGCCATCCAAACATCTAATGGACCCCTCAACTCAGGTGGGATCACCGCCCTCACATCATCAGTAGAATATGACACCCATTCAAACTAAAACAAATAATATATAATTTTTATCAAAATAATAATCTAATTATATAATTATAATCTAAAATCGATTTTTAAACATTAAAATTCATACCTGTGTGCCAGCCTTCTGATCGATTAGTACCCTAATCTTTTCTAAATCATCAGGTAGCTCCTGATGATTTTTCCTATCAGTAGACCACCTATTCAAGGAAAACAATTTGTTATACGCTGTATAAAATTATTAATATACAAAATCAGTTTTATAATTACCTCAGAAGTAGTGGAAATACGAATGGGTTCTTCACAACGAGACATAAAAAGGGCAATCGATACCATGCCCAAGACTGCAGCAGCAGGAGACATCCGCCGATAGCATTACGCCTGTAGTCAGTGGCTCCACACATCTCCCTGTACAGCAAAGCCAAAACTGCCGAGCCCCAACTGAATGATCCAGCGAGACAAAAATCGCTAAGATGTCGCAACCACATGCAGTGAACTAGGTTGCGCAATTTGTCCGGCATCAGCAACCCTCCTATCAGTTGCAGTATGCATGCTCGTGCATACATCTTAACCTCATCCTCAGAGGCGTCTGCGCTCAACTCCCGAAAATTGGCATTTAACCAATTTAACGGTATCCTACCTCCGATAAAATTTTCCGTGACACGTCCTAGACTATCCTGACACAAAGCAGTCCAAGAACCGGAAGCTATCCCCGATATCACATCTCCATCCACCAGAAGCCCCAGGTGCATAGAAACATCCTCAAGCGTGATCGTGCACTCTCCGCACGGTAGATGGAATGTGTGGGTCTCCGGCTAAGGCAGAAATCAGGTCTGGCTCTATCTTACAGTGACCCTGATATCTACCTATGTAACCGAATCCAACCTCTACTAAATACGGCAAGACACGGCTGGGTATCACTAACTTAAGATTCCTAATAAAATGATCTAATACACGGTCCTTGTCCTAAAAATAAATAATTACAAAAATTAATTCTTAATCTAATAATCATGCATTAAATGAATCAACTAAATATTACTAATAATTTAAATTAAATTAAAACGTTAAAATGTTACCGTATCAGCAAAGTGTAGAGATATATGATTTCCATCCGAGCGAAGTAGACTGTCTTCCATTATATATCTGCAAAAGAATTATATTAGTAAAATATTAAATAAAGTAAAAACATAATAGTAAAAATATTATAAAATATACCTTAAAAAGAGAGTATTTGAGAGAAATTTAGAGAATTTGAGAAAATTTGGTGTGATAAAAGTGATTGAGGATAGGGATATTTATAGGGAGGATGGGGACGCCACTTGGGTATAGCGCGCCCCCTGCACCGCGCTATACCCCACGTGTCATATATACAGGTATAGCGCGCTGTAGGGGTCGCACTATACCCACGTGGTGCCAGCTCACCGTATAGCGCGGTTCAGGGGGCGCGCTATACTCCACGTGGCGCCAAATCATCGTATAGCGCGGTGCAGGGGCACGCTTTACTGCTAAGGGTGTTAGATCGGGAAATATAGTCTGATCGGTGTTAGATCGGTAATATTACCGATCACCGGTGATATATCGGGAAAATCGCCGCTTATGAGTTGCTTTTTGAACTCATCACAAAACCCTCACAATATGGCAAGTTTTTTAAAATATATTTAAACGTATAAAGTAATATAATTATGCATGTACTTCAATTATCAGTTAATTTCTGATATGTCCGGTTGAGTGATAGGATTTGAGGTAAGGGTGATACGGAACAGAGTTGTTCGAGACGGGGATACTGTGTAACCGGCACACTCCACTTGCATGCCCAGATCCAAACAACTATGTTTTATGGGATTCCATTCATCCCTTTCAAAGAAATGCTTCAACAATGCTTTAATAATTTGAAACAAACAATTCCCTTCTTTTGAATTTAACAAAGCATATCATAGAAAGCGAAGAGAAATAGGCAGTCACAAAAAACAAATGAGAAAGGAGTAGTCACAAAGAACAAATAACGTGAAGAAGAAGAGTGAAACGATCGATCAATCATGTTGATTTAATTGATTTAACATGTCACATCAACATTTCGTTATTACAATAACGGCAGTTAACGACGAATGTTCAATTTATAACAAATCGATAATGTTAGTGACTAATTTGTTATTTTAAATTTTCAGTAGAGAAACAAAAACTTATTTAAACATTAATGATTATTTGTATAGTTTACTCATAATATTATGATATTATTTGATTCTAATATAAATTATTTATATAATCATATACAATATATATATATATATATATATATATATATATATTTCTTCATGCAAATAAATTGTTAGTATTATTTAAGGTCATAGATTTTAGCACTAGAAAATGTGAGTTGTGAGCCTTCGGTGGTACAAGGTTAAGAGTTATTCGAGTTAATATTTGAGTTATATTTTATAATTTGATTTGAATTTAAAACTTTTTCGAGTAAAGTCGAGTGAATTTATGAAATTATAACTCAAAGTTTCGGTATCAAATGCCTCTGCCTGCAGGATTGGCTTCTTTGTCAGCGCAGTTGACTGAAAATTCAGTTTTCGAGTCTAACAATAATGTTCAGGGGCAAGATAGGGAAGTAAATGCCATTCTCAAGTTTTTAAAGTATCGATTCCCTTCAGTGAGGAGCGTTCAAACACCTTTCACGTCTACTGATGTGAGGGACAGTACTACGTATAATTTGGGGAAGGTGGAAGAAGATATGTACATAACTATTCGTAAAGAATACATGATATTTTGTTAAGCTCAAGCTTTAAAACAGACGAATCATCCTCTGGTATTGAATGTCCCTCAGAAAACCGCAGGGATGCTGAATCTGAAATACTTGGAAAATACATTGTTGCACTTTCAAGTGAGACAATTGAAAACACATTGGGTGCTGAAACACTGGTGTCGATAGAGAGTTTATGGAATCTACTTCACGGCCTCTTGTTTATGATGAATTTGGCCCATTAGATTGTGATGGAATTTATCTGTCTTCCTGTGGGCATGCTGTACATCAGGGTTGTCTTGATCGCTATTTATCATCACTGAAGGAAAGGTAAGTTTTCTTAAAAAATATCATTGTAGTTCATATTAGATAGATTTGCTTATTTCTTATAACAGTATTCTGAAAGTCACTAAGAGATAGAATTTAAAGGCTCATGCAACCATGTACCACTGATCTTTCTCAAAGCAATTATGAGTTGTGAACTTATAATTAACTTCTTTTATTGGACTTCGTATTGTCCTTTTGGTGGAGGATGCTCTACTGAAACCTCGAAATGTCTTCACTAATATCCACCACAAATTATTACCATTCATAGTTGATGAAATTTCAAGTATAGATTTGGAGCTTGAATCATGTAACCAGAATTTCCCATGCCCAAATTTGTGCCATTCAAAGGCTCCAGCCTTGTAGTCCAGGTTAATTTTAATCTCACTGCGCCTTCTATTGTTGTGCCTTTAAATCCTCAAGCATCAAGTCCCTACCTCTGGGTTAATTCCAACCTCATTATGCCTTTTATAATTGAGTCTGCTAGTTGAGCTCTGAGGATGCCTTGAGGAATCTTGAGTTTATGTTATGGTTGGGTTTTCAAATTTATTTGTAATTTCATTTAACAAGGAACCAGAAGTTGCAAAAATGCCTTCTAGCTTGGGAGATTTTAAATGATGCCTGCCGAGAAGTGCATAAGATATCTTCTTGCTCTGTGGTTGCAGATTTGCATGGAGGAGTTTTTTTGAGGGGGCACATATTGTGGATCCTAATCAGGTACCAGCTTCACAAAAAAAATTATTCTTTTGCAAAGCCTTATCTTACATTTGATGTTGATCTTGTACTTGTTTGCTTTTGTCAGGGAGAGTTTCTGTGTCCTGTTTGTCGTAGACTGGCAAATTCTGTCTTGCCTGGAGTGAATGGGACTTTCCAAAAAGCCGGAAGGCAGCCTATGACTTCAACTGTTCATGAAGTGCCTTCTTTTGGTTCTCCGCTTGCAGAAAACAAAGAAACTACTTCCCTTCTGCTTCAGCAAGGTTTATGTCTTCTAAAAGCCGCTGCCAAGGTGGTTGGGAGACCTCATTTCCTTGAAGCTCTTTCTCTTCAAATAAAAGAAAGTTTAAGTCAGAATCTGGAGCCTATATCTCGTGTGATGTCTAAAATGTATTGTCCAAAAGAGCTGGATAGATTCTTAGGATCTCCAAGGTTAAGCCTCCCAATAATTTTATGGGATACTCTCAAGTATTCCCTTATGCCAACAGAAATTGCTGCTCGCGGTGGAAAGACTTCTATGGAAGCAAATTATACTCTAACTTCTTTGTATAAGGAATTTAAATCTTCTAGTGAATTTATATTTTCCTTGTTGCAAAGAGTTGTCTGGAACCTGAGCAGTACAAATTCACTTCATGCTCTTCAAAGATTTAGAGGTCTTCAACCGTTTGCAAAATCTATTTGCTCTGGGATTGTCTTTGATAACCACAGCACCACAAATAAACAAGAAGGTACGGTTTTAACTAATTATTACTTTGAGATTTCATTTGGAATTTGGAACATTTATGAAGAATGTTTGATACTAAGTTCGTGATACTAGATATATTTAACAAATAGAGGTTTGGTGCTTATGTGCTTTTAAAGATTTAATTTCTAGTCGTTTGGTGGTTCGCGAATCACAAATAAATCAAAACAGGTCATTGCTAAAACTGAAGCACAATGATAAAACTTTCCACTCCTGCTAACGAGATGAGATTTCTCAACATAATCAATAGCATATTTGGATGCGCACGTCAAGCTCCTTGGCCTTCCCCATATTTGGATGCTTTTGGTGAAGAGGTAAAGCATATTCTTTTTATTGGCAAAGTTTGTAACTATCGTATACTTTAGCAACTTGAGGTTGAAGCAGACAAAATATTGGTAAGCATCAAGTGTTATGGTATAGAATAGACATTTTGCACTGTCAGCCTCTTTTACTATAACCAATGAAGGCCAAGGGTGGTTATGATTGTTATCGTTATCAACCACAAAAAAACATAGTTTACCAAGTGTTGTAAGTTCACGAGCCTCGGGGAATTTTCAACCACGGATCTACTTCGGTTCCCCTTTGGCTATAATTCAATGCAAAGAGCCTTGGGAAATTTTGAATGATTTATTAATCTACTTGATATTTTTAACTTGATTGAACCTACCAGAATGTAAGAGATTCCTGGAGCTGATTTATATATATACATTCATTGCTGTAAAAGAACAAATATTGAAGGTGCAAGTATTCATGTGAAATTATTCATTTGGTTGGGACTTGTATGAGATACCAGAATTCTTAATTTGAATTCCATACGGCTAGTCATGGCACTGAATCTGAAACTTTGATTGTGTACACATTTGTTTTCATTGCATATTTGTTCTTGCCCTTCACATCATATGGATCATATGGAAGCAGGATTTAATGTTAAGGGGACGAACTTGAACTTTTAGAATTCCGGGGGCAAACTGGAACTCATAAAATTCCAGGGCAACCGACTGTCCCCCTCCCCATTTTCCCCTGGAAGGGTTTTCTTATGATCTATTTGTGATATTGTACGCCACTTTCTCATTTCAGGATATTGAAATGCGAAGAGGAAAGCCACAATATTTGAACGAGGAACGTTATACTTCTCTATCGTACATGGTAATTTCTAAATCCTCTGCTTTTCTTATATATTTGTCGTCCACGACACTAGAGGTGGTTTTATATTTTTCGTTGTTCATGTTTGTAATAATAGGTTGCTTCTCATGGCCTTGATCGGAGTTCGAAGATTCTAGGCCAAACAACCATTGGTACCTTCTTCATGGTTTAGCTTGGTTTCATGGTCAAGGTGTTGGTCTATCTTTGGCTTCCTTGTCCATTTTCTACTAATACATCAAATTGCTTAGAAAATGGTTGAAGGTTGATGTTAATATTTAACGGAAAAACTGACGTGACAGTTAAAATATTTGATATTATTATACATTTGGTCCATATTACTTATATATTCTATCAATTTGGTCTTAATTTTAATAAATTAAAATAAAATTTAACCTTCAAATCAAATGGTGCCAAAGTAGTCTTTATTCATCTTAGTCTTTCAATTTGTAGGAAAAAAACAAGAAAGAGAAGAAAAGAAAACTTACAAAAAATTGATTTCATTTTTGAGAAATTAAAAAAAAAATTAAATATCAAACGCTTTGATTTCAAACATACATCTATATTAAGTAAAATCAAAATTTAAACTCTTAAAAATTAATTCAAAACAATTAGATTTTACTTATAATGCGAGAACTTAGGCAAAAGTAAAGTTATAATACTTGGATAGCTGAGTAATAAAAAATAAATATTTTTAAACAACCAGTCTAAAAGTAATTACAAAAAAAAATAAAACATCAAATTTAAACTCCTAAAATCATTGAAAGATATAATTTAAACACATGAATTCGTCATACTATTTGTCTTGCGTGTATCAATGTAAAATATAATTTTTAACCTAAAAAACGATGAATATGAATAAATGTTGGCACATCTCATCAACATTGACATGCTTGTTTTACTTTATTATTAGAAATAATAAAAGCCGATAAAGAGAAGAGAAAAACTAGATTGACTGACATTAAATTGGATTCCTCTCCAATTAACTACTTTGGCATATTTGATGGTTGAATTTATTTTTAATTTAATAAAATTAGGATCAAATTGATAGAATATATAAGTAACAATGATTATATGTGTAATTATACCAAATATTTTAACTGTCACATTAGTTTTTTTTTGTTAAACATTAACGGCAAGTGGTTTTATTGAATGCATTTAAATAGTACATGAGTGACCTGATTGATAAAATCTCAAAAATGATGGTCAAAATAAAAAGGGGTAATAGTTAGGTGGTCACTGTTATATTTTACCTTTCATTTTAAATAATTTACCTTTAAATTTTCAACTAATTTATAATTATACGTTGAGTCCTTTAGAATTAACGTTTTATAAATTAATTTAACAAAGTTCATCATTAGTGGTGCTTATCACTACTTGTTGAATGTGAAAGAATCATCCTTGCATATTTAACTTTGCACCTTTATACGGTATACACACTTGGGGCCAATATAAATGAAATTCCTAAATTTTCTAGAAAAATATATTTAATATAAATTTTATAAATAATATTGAAAAAAGAATATATTACTCTTAAAAAGAAAAATTGATCATATTTTTTCGAAAAAAATATATTGTTATATTTAATAATAAAAAATCTAATACCCATTTCAATTCTATCGATATTATTATTAATATATTCATAAATATAGCATAAAATTATATATTAAATACAATAAGGTTATTAATATATTGATGACCAAAATAGTTTTAAAAATTGATAATGTAAATGTGCATATTTATATCGATGTGTTTTTTAGGTACTAAGATAGTGGTAGGTGTATTTTTGCATTAGTGTTAATACGATACCTAAAAATAAACGCATACTCACACCAGTGTATGTTCATCTCCTACTGTTTTGGTACCTAGAAATAAATACATATTTGCACTAATATAAATATATACATATAGAATAATGAGATAAAATTTAAATAAAAAATAGAAAAAGATATTATCATTTTAATATTTTATAAGAAAATATCATTAATAAATAAACAAGCTTATAAATGAGTCAAAAACGAATATGTTCTTAAACTTAAATGAACCAAACAATACTTTGTTTGAGTACAAGTATAAAACGTACATACAAATTTTGTTCATACCAGTTTATTTAACTTAATAAAAGAACGTTATACGAACAGTCAAGTTTATTTACACCCCTATTTTAGTCATATTATACATTAATTTATGGGATATTAATGTTATGCATTAATGTATGACTTTATTTGAACGTTTTAATTTTTTAAATTGTGACATCATAATTTATAATTTCTTGCTCAGTCCCTATACATATACACAGATTTTACATTCGCTCCGGTTCTCTACCCAAGGCTTACCAAGGGGTAGTTTCGGCCTCATGAATCTGAATCAGCAAACGTTTGCGTTTTGCGCCCACATGTTTGAATTTGGGGGTAAGAAGCTCGCTTAGAAAGATTTTACTTGAGAGTTGAGTTTGATGATAGAAAGGTGGAAGACAATTTTCAATTTTAATTTGGATCCGAAAACTTAATTCGAATTGATTTAAGTCACTGGTATTGCGTAGAACTTGTTAAGATTTTCTTATACCCTTCGAATTCCGTTTTACGGCAGGCAAAATGAATCAACCAACATGGATTGAAGAATATATTATTATTGTTATTTTGTATGCAAACGAGGGGAAAAGGAAAAAGATATCAGAACCCCCTTCAATCCCTCCATCTCAGCTTAGAAACATTCTATTGGAGGGTGTACAAAATAACGAGTCGATATTCTTCAAAACGACACAGGCTGGAAATCCGGGATTTTGTCCATGATGGGATTCATGTCTGTCTTGATACCACTAAGTTTGTCAATTTACCATATCTGCAAGATGATCGAGCAATGGCATTGAAGGCGCCCCGGACAGTGCGGACGACATCCTCAATTCGGATGCCATCGCTTGGGAAACACACAGCCAACTTCAAAATAATATTTCTCCCACCCTATAAGACAGGAAAGAGAGTTGGAATGAAACAAATGATAAACTGGTTTTCTTGCATTTTTAATTTGTTTGATATTGTTGGTAAGCCCATGGAGAAAATCGATAGGATAAACTCGAATGAGAGAGCGAAAAGCTACTCGATAGAGAGACATGATTCTATGCATATGGTGTGATTGCACAGTTTCGATGGTTTATCATGATATTTCGATCTATTGTCGGGCAAAGTAAAGTTTGGGCAGAAGCATGAACACAACTGACCGATCATCAATGTAGAAAATCACAATGGAAAAGCACGAGAACACAGCACGCTATAAAATTAATGCATTACTTACAGTTTGAGCGCTATGTGACTCCCATCCTTGTCGTATTCAAGCAGTCTTCAACTGGAGAGCTGCCTTTCAATGATAAATCCAAAGCTTTTGTCTTACCTTCATGCCTCTCTTTATCGAATGTCAACTTAAGTTGTCTCTCTACTGACTTAAAAACAGCAGTTCTTTTAGATCTTAACCGGTATGGAGGAGATGCATTAAAAGACGTACAATTAGGCCCAGTGTTGCTATTGCCTTGACAAGCAGGACTCTCACATGAATCTCCATCATGAAATTGAGACCGTTTTATACTATTTTCAATTCTTTCCAATTCACCAGATACTAGAATCGTATCCTTGAAAGCATCCTCATTCGAAGTTCCTATTTTATTAGGAAACGCATGTGACTGGGCTTTGAACTTTCTCTTTCGAAATATAGAAGGTGTGTTTGGGAAGGTCCTAGCAGCAATTCTAAGAATATACTCCGGACTGTGTTTACTAAAACCACTGCCCTTCACACAAGGCGGAGTGAAGAAACTAATCGGTGATGTAATAGGAGTAGAAGTCCATTCGTGCTGCACGCCCTTTCTAAAATTTTCTGAATCTAATGAAGTACCACCTCGTAATCTAGGTGATCCATCACAACATAAAGAACCATAAGTT